CAGCGTCGATGGCGAGCACTTCCGGGATCGATCCGGGATTGATTTATTGCGTCTAGACAAGACGCGATAAATCAATCCCAGAAGATCGATTGCTTATTGCCGGACCCAAAGGTAAGTATAGACGTACCCTAAGCCACTCATTTAAATCAGTCAATAGTGTCTGAAAGTTACTGTCATTTGAAAACTGTTCAGTGACCTATATCAGTGTTTCTTAATGACTGGTCCATGGACTGGTGCTGCTCCCTGAGATCTCCCTGATGCAGGTTAGGAAGGCAGGAAGCCAGTCTTGGTATCAGAAAGGTCAGCGTATCTCAATCTATGTGAAGCAATACGATGGTGTAGGACCTGTCTTAATGCCCCATCACAACCTCCTGCCAGCCATCTCGGGTAACCTCTTGGTTGGTTGACTATATTGTGTCTGTTTTGTGGATAAACTGAGGATTTTATTTGCTGGAGCTGTCCATCTAATGATCTTTCACTGTGGCCTGAAAAATAAATTACCCAATTTTTAAAAGGACATGTGAAAGCCTAGAGCAGAAAAGGGAAAGTGGCAAAATCAGAGAATTGTCATTTGAGAGATTTTCATGCTGAAGCAAACTTTTAAAACAGTCCATACATGAAAAAGCATTTGACTTGGTCAAGAACTCTCTCCATATCTGTGCTGCTGTTACCAATTTGCATTTGAATCATGACCTCTTCCCCCCCAATTCCACCTTTTTGTCTACTGGATGTTGCAGTGATGTCATAATCTTGTGTTTATGACATCAGCTTGTTGCCAAAGAAATTTCTGTGATGACACAAACTCAGCTTTATGACCTCACTACATGGTTGAGGCAGAAGAGAAGATGATCTGGGATCATCAATACCCTTATTTAAATGCAAATCATTGATAAGCAGAACTATAGCAATAATCCTTTGCACTTTAGTAGCGACTTTTGTACAAGAATCTTAAAGTGCATTTCATTCGGGCCTGGTTTGCACTACAGTTTTAGGTCAATGCAAGGGAATTAACATTGACCTAACTATGTAAGTGTTCACACTAAAATTTTGCTCCTGCTGACGTAATTGCCCCGCTACACCAACTTAATAACTCCACCTCCATGAGAGGCGTAGAGTCAAAGTCAATGTAGTTAGGTCGCTGCAGTGTCAGTGTAGACACTAAATTGCTTACATTGACTGTTACTTTCAGAAGCCATCCCACAATGCCCCTCACTGACAGTACAATCAATTCAAGCGTTCCTGGTAAAGACACACCCCGCTTACACAAGGAGCAAAATACAGACACGCACCAGTGATGTAATTACTGTAGCGGCTGTATGCTGACCTAAGTTAGGTTGACTTATTTTTGTAGTGTAGACATGCCGTTAGTAACTAAACCTCACAATTCCCCTTGGGAAATGTTATTACTGTACTTTTATTTTATTCATAGAGGAGCTAACACAGAGAAGTGGTGTCTTGCCTAACTTCACTAGCGATTCAGTGGCATAGCTGGGAATAGAACCGTCATCCCCTGACTTCTAGCATGCCACTCTGGCCGCTAGAATGTGCTTCCTCCTTCGAAAAGGAAGTCAAATATTATTAGCTTTAAATCTACATCTGCTCATCCTTCATCTATTTAGTTAATCAAATATCTCTTCCTTTGTGTACTTCGAATTTATGGGGGGTGGTGGAAATGGTACAGGAAGGTTGCTGTCTTGTTAGCCCAGAATTTGCAGTGATGTGCCTTTTGAATTTTGACAGGTTGGTTGAGATAGCAGAACACCGTTTCCCTAATTATTTTGGCACAGAAGAAAAGTTGTTTTCAATGACCCGTAGCATTCATCTCTATCGGGAGCTCACCTGTGACAGTGTGCTGAAAAGGTATTGTTTGCTTTGGAGTGCAATGAGAAGCCCATCATTGCTGAATGGTCTGTAATGAGTATGTTCTACATCTCAAGTTTTATGTACAGTAGTTCACTTCTTTGGGCCTTTACATTTCAATAGCTAGGCAAGTCTGACTAGATAAAATTAGTGCAAAACCACCAAAAACCCTGCATCTTGATGCATGTATTTGATCCCACTGTTGTCTTTATTCTGAAGATTTTGAAAAAGCTTTCTGAGATGTCTTGTTTAGTGTATGACCAATGGATATCAATGTTGCTATTTTTATAATGCAGTAACCTCTAATACACAGCCAGCAAAATGTGGTTTGCAGGAATCCCTTCATAATCCTAGATGTAGCTCTTATGGAGTTTGTGCGTCTGATGGGCACCCGGCTCAGTTTAGGGTAGAGTGAGCAAAATCATGGAAGTGCCTCCCAACTATTCCTCCTGAGTATCTTCCTCCCATCCCTACATTATGAGGGAGGAAGAAAAGGAGATGCTACAAATAGAGAGAGGAGCCCCACTCATGACTGTCAGCCAGGAAGGCTTTTACATGATGATCCTGTGTTGCCATGTTACTTTGTCAACTTGTGATGACACATTGTCATGAAGACAGGTTATGATGTGGCAAGGACATCTTGCCATTCTTCTTGTGTGTATCTGCAGACGTGTTAGTACTTGTGCTGTATACTACCTACAGTCCCATCAGAGCGGATGAACTATTAGCATATTATTAACCAAATATATTTTGACATGTATATTACATTACAAGTATGTAGAAAGGGACCTGGCCCTGTGGCTGTAGAGGGGACCCACGGTGGTAGAAATGGGATGTTTCTACTATGTCGGAGAGGAGGCAGGGCACAGCCTCTGTGCATGCATATCTCTCTGCTTACTCCCATGACTGCATGGGACAGAGCAGATCCATATTATATGGGTCCTCCAACCCTCCACTCTGAAGGGGGCACTTTGGGTACAGGAGCTATGGCAGCCTGAGAGCTATGGTAGTGGTTATGGAGCAGGATTCCTTTCCCCTTCCACATCTCCATAACCCAGTAAGGGTGACTGTTGACAGAGGGAGTTGGCTGTATATAAAGGTTTTAGTATAATTTGATGTAACAGGTTTATGCTTATAAAATATTTTTTTTGTGTGTTAACTGTATACAACTAACATCCTGCTGTCTGATGTTACTGCTTCACCTAAGTGAATACTTTTTTTTTTTTAAAGGATTGAGACTTTGGAAGAAGAAATCATTTCTAAGAAGGTTAAGCTTGTAATAATTGACTCTGTTGCTTCAGTGGTCAGAAAGGAGTTTGATATGAAACTTCAAGGAAACTTGATGGAGAGAAGTAACTTTCTGGCTAGAGAAGCATCATTATTGAAGTACTTGGCTGAGGAATTTTCAATACCAGTAAGTTTTTCCTTATTTTTTTTTTTTAAGTCTCTGGCCCACAGTATTAAGTCATAAAATCAGAGAAGCATGAAAATGACAGGAAGATGAAAAACAGATGACGTTTTAACAGGGATGGACAAGCCAGTTACCGTAAGCACATCTGTGAAAAAAAAATCATTCTATTTGGACAGTTCAGTTGGTGACTTTATTGTGTTTTCCTTAATATTTATTTCAGACTTTAGAGATGGCTTTACAAGATTCTCTCTACCATTTCTTTTCAATGTTTCGTTTTCTTTAGCTTTTTTGTAAGGCTGTTATCTGTGTTGCTTCAATTAGACTTGGCTCATTTAGTTCCATAATTTTCTTTTGATGCTGTCGTCTAAAGCGGTACTTCCAGTGCTTTTTGGTGAGTCTTACCCGCTGATGGTGAATTTCCTGCCTCTCCTGTTCAGTTTTGTGGAGTCTAAAATGGAGGTTGGCTCTTCCAGGCCCAAGTGCTGTGATTTTGAGTTTGGGTTCTGGAGCAGTGTCCTTCCTTTATGAGTTAAAGTACCCACAGATTTGTGGGAGGAAGGTAGTGAAAGTGCACCAGGCCCCAGGCTTATCAGTAAGCCTACAGTACCACTCACAAGAGCTTCAGTACCATACCAGGACTGGGTGAGGTTGATCAAAGTGGTATTACAAGATGTAATGTCTTTGAATGAAAGAAGGCAAAGTTCAGACATAAAGAAAAGCTTCTAATAGTAAGATCAATTTGAGAACGGAAAAATTTGCCAAGTGATGTCAGAGAGGCTCCACCAACAGAAATAGATTAAGTATAAGAGAGTAAACTGCTGTAGGGACTTTAGAAATGTGAGGTCTTGTCCATCTGTAACTTCTATGGTTTGTATAGCTGCCTTCTCAGTCAGAGTTATGCATATGTCAGGGGGAGAATTTATCCCTAGCTTAAGAGGAATTGGATTCTGTTTACTCTGTAAAATATCAAGACATTTGGCTATCTTGAGAAAATTAAAAAACCCTGCATCTGTGCCTTTAAAAATTGTGTGCAAATGTAGTATCCCAAATTACCGCACCCAATGATATTTATAGAGCTAAAAAGAAGCCAGGAAAAATATGAAGTTTGCAAGAAAGTGTGTATTTAATGACACTTTTATTCATATTTAGGGAAAATGTGATGCAGTTCCCTGGCAAAGAAGAAGGTTATAAAGTTTATACTGGAAGATGTTCATTTCTGTCTTTTATTTTTTTTTTAATTTGATTTTAGTTGTTAAAATGGTAAATTTGAGCTGGCTATGAGCCATCCAGAGACCATGCTTATGGCCCTGCTTAGAAACAGGGAGACAGAATATTAATACTCGTGGAGCTTCTAATAATTTACAGAGACACTGGATGAATTGAAAAGTTAAGGGTTGTGTGCTTATGTTATTTATTTCATCCTTTTGATTTGTTTAACTCCATATAAACCATTTACAGTTGGTTAAAAGAAAACAAAACGTCACCATTTAAAGTTCTTCAGTGTATCAGAACTAATGTAGTGTTTTGAGGTATGTATTGTACCTGCTGTCTGTTGGTCCTTTCTTGATTTCAGAGTTCTGTCCATGTTTCCATTAGAAACCTTCCATACAGAGGTTTAGAATTCTGGCCATAAATTTCTGCCTCTGACTGAAACTTGGTATTTGCAGCTTTGGACCAGGAGAGAATTTAATTTCACAATGTTAAACAAAAATGTAAATGGAGGGTGTCAGAAGTCTTAGAACTATTAATAAAAAAGTATTGAAAGTTTGCCAAAATGTCATTTGTGCACCAGTAGTCCTAAATACCAGTATTGACTGATCAGTGGCTAATTTACTATTCTAATTGCTTTTGGTATCTTGTAAAGAGAGTTGATTTACGATTGTTGAAATATTTGTCCTTAGAAATGGACTAAAGTCAGAAAATACTCTTCTTCATTGTTTTTACTCCTTATCCTATCAATCTACCATCTTATTGGCTAGTTTTTATATCAATTCACATGGTAAATGCAGGTGTCCTTTTATTGTCTGAATATGTATAGCTTGTGCATGGAGTTGCTGGGTTACATCAAAAATGTTTAAATTTATATTGCACAACAGACAGGAGGGTCCCCTGTAAATTAGCATATTAAAAAGATATGGTTTTGGATGAGAGGATGTAGGAGGGGTCAGTAGCACTGTCTATTAAGGTTGTCTGACACTTAGCATTACAAGACTCTTTTTTTCAGTTGCTTTTAACTTGGCCAAACTTTAACTGTTTAGACTGAAATTTTCTATTTTGAATGGTTGCCTCAAGCAGAAGTTTTTTGGAAATTTTAGCTAAAAAGAGAAAATAAGCTTTTTGTACATGTTTTTTTTTTTTTAGACAGCTCCAGCTCCCCTACGCTTTGGAGTAGGGTTCTGGAATGGCTCAGTACTGTGAATGCCAGTCTCAGGTCAGACTGTCAGAAAACAGGGTGGACCCCCCAAACTGGTGGTATATTCTATAGTTAGATTTCACCAAGCCAGTAACAAATGTAATCTCCTGGATCACTATATTAGCCTTACCATGGAGACACGGACAACTGCCTTAGACTCTCCAGCGTATCTTACCAGCCTGACAACTGGACTTTGTGATACTAGGTTACTCCCAACTCCAAAGGATCAGTCACTTACCCCAGGTCAATGAATACTTTCGATCTTACACCAAGACAACGCTGGCAACCAATTTCTCTAGTAAACTAACTAAAGGTTTATTTGCTAAGAAAAAGAAATGAGAGTTATCGAGGAATTAAAGCAGATAAAATACATTAACAGATAAGTCTAAGTTTGTAAGTCCACAATGATAGTAGAGATGTAGTAATTTGCTAGTTTTCCATAAGTCTCTCAGAGTTACCCAAAATAACTTTGAGGATCTCTGTCTTGCATCTGGAACACTTTCCTTTGAGTGTCCAAATAGTTCAGAGATACTAGATCCTTTTTGAATTCATATTTATAGCTTTTCCACACAGAAAGCAATCTGATGTGTCTTTACTCCTCCATCTCCCCTTGCTTTGAAATTAGCATTTCCTGTTACAGCCATTAAATCCTTCATTAGCATTTCCAAGGTTCCATTCCCATTTGATGAATTAGTCACAGGGATATACACAATATAAAAGGTAATGTAATAGGAAACAAACAATCCTTCATTAGTTTTCATGAAATTTACACATCAGGTACATTCTTATGTTAACACACATTTGATCTAGAAGAAACAACGAGGAGTTCTTGTGGCACCTTAGAGACTAACAAATTTATTTGGGCATAAGCTTTCGTGAGCTTCATCAGATGCATGGAGTGGAAAATACAGGAGCAGGTATAAATATATGAAAGGATGGGGGTTGCTTTACCAAGTGTGAGGTCAGTCTAACAAGATAAGTCAATTAACAGCAGGATAACAAGGGAGGAAAAATAACTTTTGAAGTGGTAAGAGAGTGGCCCATTACAGATAATTGACAAGAAGGTGTGAGTAACAGTAGGGAGAAATTAGTATTGGGGGAAATTAGGTTTAGGTTTCGTAATGACCCAACCACTCGCAGTCTTTATTCAGGCCTAATCTGATGGTATCCAGTTTGCAAATTAATTCCAGTTCTGCAGCTTCACGTTGGAGTCTGTTTTTGAAGTTTTTTTGTTGAAGAATTGCCACTTTTAGGTCTGTTATTGAGGGACCAGAGAGATTGAAGTGTTCTCCTACTGGTTTTTGAATGTTATGATTCCTGATTTCAGATTTGTGTCCATTTATTCTTTTGTGTAGAGACTGTCCAGTTTGGCCAATGTACATGGCAGAAGGGCATTGCTGGCACATGATGGCATATATCACATTGGTAGATGTGTAGGTCAACGAGACGCTGATGGTGTGGCTGATGTGGTTAAGTCCTATGATCGTGTCCCTTGAATAGATATGTGGACAGAGTTGGCACTGTGGTTTGTTGCAGTGTTTGGTTCCTGGGTTGGTTTTTTTGTTGTGTGGTGTGTAGTTGCTGGTTAGTATTTGAAGCAATTAAAGTAATTGAAGCTTGAAGTAAATACTCACCAGCAACTGGGTGGGTGCGGGAAGGGAATGAAGCAGGAACTGGTTGGACCAGAAAACTGGGAACCATGGGGAGGAGAAGGAAAGAGACTGGGTCCAGCTGGATAAGGAGATCGTGAGAAGGAACCTCAGTCCCTGGAAAAATCATGGAGCAGGTCCTCAAGGAATCAATTCTGAAGCACTTAGAGG